ATTTTACTTTCAAGATCGTTGTTGGTTTTGGATATGAGTTTATTTTCATTTTTCAATTTTGAAACATCATTTTTATATTTTAAAAACAATTTCTCATAATCCAAAGCCAACCCATTATATTCCTCTAATAGCTCATCATAGGATATATCATCAAAATCAGATGAGTTAGAGGTTACCTTAGAATCTTCCCCGAATGCCATCAAGCACAAGTTTGCTACTTCTTGTTCTTCTTCATCGGAACCTTCTTCATCGCTCCATGTAGCCACATGAGCCTTGTGCTTATTCTTTGATTGACCCCTTTCTCTTCAATTGTGAGCAATCATATTTGACATGCCCCGGCTTTTTGCATTCATAGCAAATGATCGGGTCCTTCTCTTTTGGTTCATTTTTTAGGCCTTCATTTTGTTTGAATTTTCTCATTCGGTAATGTCTCATCATTTTTCTGAACCGTTTGGAAAACAATGCCATTTCCTCATCATCTTCATCCGAGTCACTCTCATCTTTTGTGGATTTGAGAGAAACTCCAATGTTTTTCTTCTTCTCATTCTCCTTTGGTGTCTCTTCAATCTTATCAAGGTCCACCTCATCTTCAAGCATCAATTCATGAGTGAGGAGTGAACCGATTAGCTCTTCAAGAGTTAAGGATGTTAGGTTCTTAGACTCGATGATTGCCGTCTTCTTTGATTGCCACGATTTTGGAAGGGAGTAGACTAACTTCCTCACAATCTTTTCATTTGAAATGATCTCTCCATATGACTTGAGACCATTGACAATCATTGAAAATCTATCTGTCATAGCTTTGATATCTTTATTTGGTTTCATCCTAAAATTTTCTTAGCTATGCATTAGAATACTAATTTTAGATTTCTTTACCTCATCGGTACCTTCATGAGTGACTTGAAGTTTGTCTCATATTTCTTTGGCGGTTGTACAAGATGAAACTCTTCCGTATTCATCTGGTCCAAGAGCACAAAATATGATATGGATGGCTTTGGAGTTGAGCTGGAACATTTTTGTCTCTCCTTCACTCTACAATCTTGGATGAGTGAGAGGCTTGATGTATCCTTCTTCTACGAAATTCCATGCTCCCATGTCACTTGCTTGAATGAAGTACATCATCTTATTTTTCCAATAGGCATAGTTAGCCCCATTGAAGAAAGGAGGCTTGTTGACGGGCATCGAATCGAGACCGAAGTCGAAGTTTGAAGTAGAGACCATTGATGACTTTGATTATCGATGTAACTCTTCCTGAATCGACTCAAGAGGCGATTAAACCTTCAAATGAGTTAGGCTCTGATACCAATTGATGAGTTAATCGATTGACGAATATGGCCAAGAGGGGGTGAATTGGAAATTAAAATTTTGATGGAAGCTTTTGCAGAAAATTGAAAGAAATTTGCACAGCGATTTAGAGTGGTTCGACTTTCACAACCAAAGTCTACGTCCACTACCTTAGTTATTCACACTAAGGATTTTCTACAAATTCACTAATTTGTCTTTCTTTTGAGGACAAAGAGTAACCTTACAAACCCTCAAGAATTATACCCCAAATTCTTGAGAACACTCTCTCCCAAAGAGAACAATACAAATTTGCAAACATACAAGGAAATCATCACAATGTAGATTGTTTGCACAATTCTAGAACAAAGAAAAGAACACTCAAGAATGAATACAATTGAGCACAATAAGTATTCTTGAAAGCAAAATGAATATTGAATGAAAAATAGGCTTGAAATGCTCAAACTTGAGGTTTGATGCTTTCTCTTTGATTCTCTCTTGATTCTAGTTGCTTGATGTTTCTTGTTATTGATCAATAGCTTCTAAGCTTGCTTAAATACACTTTGAATCACTTCTGAATGTTGGGGATCATTAATGAAGTTTTTGGAGCCGTTTAAGTGTGAAAACAATTAATATTTCTTGGAGCGTGGGGGGAATCAGTACCTCTAATGGGGAATCGATTCCCTAAGTGTAAAATTCAAATATTTCGACCGTTGAACAATGGGGGGAATCAGTACCCCCTGGGGAGAATCGGTTCCCTCCGAGCATACTGGAATTCTCGGAGCCAAACCATTCAGGGGGAATCGGTTCCCTCTGAGCAATATGAAAATTTTGGCTTTGAAATGGTTCGAAATATTTTATAAAATTGTTTTGAAATTATTTTAAGATTAAAACTTAATTTTACACTTTAGTAAGGATTAAAAATGACATTTGAAAGATTTAGAATACTATTTTGATATTCGAATAATTATATTGAATATACTTAGAAAATATTTTTGGAAAATCTTAAAATTCATTTAACTTAATTTGTTATATCGAAATATTAAAATATATTCAACACAATACTACTGTTTAAATAGTTTAATTTCATTATTTACCAAAAAAAGAGAAAAAGTTCATCAGAGGAGTTTGTTATCAATCTTCAGAATATCACAAAATTTTTAATTATTACAGTGGATATATATATATATATATATCGTTAGACTCTTAACTGTCGTTTTAAATTTAAAATACACAAATAAAAAAAACATGAACCAACATCGGGTTTAATCTATATATACCAGAGACGAATAAAATTTTTTATGTTAATGACGAATTTTTAAATTTTAAAAAGATAAGAACTTATAAAAGTCCAGAAGAACGAAAATAAATTTTCAATAAAAATACATAAAAATATTTAAAATATATAATAATTTAAAATTTTGAAAAGTGTTACATGTTTTCACCAACCTCATTAGTACATCCTATACGTATCATTTCTAGTCTTGTAAAAAATACACAAATGGGGTGACTCCATCGAAGTTCTAGAAACATTCAAAGAGAATCTTACCCGATGAGAAAAAAATTATACAAGTTTGCCCCAAAGAGTGCGTTTGGTTCACGGAATGTAAGATTACCAGTGGGAATGTAAGATTATCAGGGAATAGGATTACTGTGAATGTTGTATTTTGTGTTTGGTTGGCTTAGTAGGAATGTAAGATTACCGTGTTTGGTTAAAGAAATAAAAGATTATTGGAATGTATATTTGACCAAATTGTACTTATTATATATTTGTATAATATTACAAGTTGGAAAATATTTATATATTTTCTTTAAAAATTTAAATTCATAATATTTATATATTTTTTTACAAAATTAAAAAAATAAAAAATGTTTAATGAAAGGGTAAAATTTTATTTTTAACCCCTGAACTTCATATAAAATTTTAATTATAGATTTTTTTTTGTAAATTTAAAATAATTTAAGGATAAATTTGTAATTTAACATTCGTAAAATTTTTATTATTCAATGACAGAAGAATGATATTTTTGAAAAAAAATAAAAAATTTAAGGGCATTTTAATCCAAAACACCGGTAATTCAATAATACCTAAGGAAAGGAAGGTAATGACATTTCAGATAATATACCCCAAAAAATCCACTATTAGTAATCTTATATTACCGGAATAGAATTCCCGGGCTAACCAAACGTGAAAATGTGGATTTCATTCTCATGGGAATCCCACATTCCCCATCCAAACACCCATAATGTTCAACAAATACAAATATTTATAGACTACATAAGTAATTAGGGGGTTCAAAACTGAGTAACCACATTTTTGGGTACCCAAAGTATTAAGTATCCAGATTGTCTGGGTACCAAAAAATCGGACCGTAACATTAAGGTACCTACAAGTCGAGTACCCGCATAATCAGGATACTCGTTGATTCGAGTAATAGGGTACCTAGTTTTCTTGTTTTTCAAATTAAAAAATTATGCACTGATTTTTTTTAAAATTAAAATACGTACAAATTTAAACACTTAAAAATCTGAATTACATAATTTAGAAATAAAGTTTAAAAATTCAAATTACATAATCCAAATATAAAACTTAAATATTAAAAGTATAAATGCAACTAAAGAAATATATTAAAATATATCAAAAAAAACTAAATTAAAAAGGTATAGGGTATCGGGTCGGCTGGTACCTGGTTAAGTAGTATTTTGTGAGCTGGGCTCGACCCGAAAACTTGGGATAAATAATGGGCCGGGTACTTGACCTAGAAATTCGAATATTTTCAATATAAATATTCGATAATTTTCAACCGAATTGACGGGTCAACGGATCGGATATTTTTTAATACACCTATAGGCAACCCTAAAAACATTTCATTTGGTCTTGAAATAGCAAGAAAAATTAAGCATCCCATGTGTGATATTTTTGCAGCCTCTGAAGTTGTCAAAAGTAATTCATTTTGCTTTGCTAGGTGCCATCCATACCATGACTTAAGCCTATACGTTTTGACAATTTTTAAAGCAGTTTAGTTTACTAGCTGCCATCCATTTTTCTAGCACTTTCAAGACTAAGCAAAATTGATAATTGTTTTGTCCAAAAATAATCTAGAAATTAGAATAAGATACTTTGCAGAATAATCAAATTAACTTAATTATTTCAACCGATTTGCTGAAATAACTAAAAGAAATTTCAATACATAAAAGACTAAGCTTTTGTAATGGTTATGGCTATTTACAGGGCAATTTTAAATCCATGAAATAATATTAATCATTATTAAAAATTCAATAATATTATTTTAAAATATTATAATAATTAATAAATATTATTTTTGTTAATATACTAATAATTAACATATTAACTTTTTACAATTTTTTGAATTTGAAATATTATAAATTACGTTTACTATTAGAAACTAATAGTGAATTTAAATAATATCATCAAAATATTTTTAATAAAGTTTAATCTATAATTTATAAGATTAAGTGTTTAAACAATGTTTTATATAAAATTATTTAATTTTAAATTGATATAAATATTTTTTTATTTTAATAATAAATTGAACAAGGTTTTAACTTATGTGTAAACAAATATTATTTTAAAAATTAAACTTAAATAGATGTTAATTTAAAACTTAAATATTTAAATAGAGATTTAATTACAAAAGTCAACATATTCAACCAGATAAATCCATTTCAACCTGTCTATTTAAATAGATAGTCTATTCTTATCCAAACTGCGACTCCCACATCTCCAGCAATGCCTCCAAGGGATCCAAACACAGAACAGATCATCGATTTCGTTGTAAACAAACGAAATGGAATAAAGGGTTTAGTCAGTACAGGCGTTGAATCCGTTCCCGAGCTTTATATTCTCCCGGTCGAGGAAAGATTGGGACCGAACAAGATCTCGACTAACGACTCCATTCCGGTGATCGATGTTTCCGATTGGGACGACCCAAGGGTAACCGAATCGATCTGCGAAGCTGCCGGAAAGTGGGGGTTCTTTCAGATAATTAACCATGGAGTTCCCTTGGAAGTTCTCGACGCCGTCAAGGAAGCCGCTCATAGGTTCTTTGGGTTACCTAATGAAGAGAGGGGCAAGTACTGGGCTGGGAATTCGCCGACTGATACAGTGGCTTTGAAGACAAGCTTTGTTCCGCAAGCAGAGACCGTTTTTGAGTGGAAAGATTATCTAAGCTTTCGTTGTAGTCCTCGGGATCTGGAATCATTTCCCTTATGGCCCCCTGTTTGCAGGTGATATAAATGTTCGACCCTTTGCTTTTGTATTAAGCATCTACAAATGTTTCATTTAAGCTTCTGTAATGGTTATGGATCTGTTGTTTTTCTTGTGGGGGGTAATTATCTATGCTTATTTACAGGGATGAAGTGGTGAAATATTTGGAGAGTGCGAAGCCTGTGATAAGGAAGCTGCTGGAGGTCCTTTTGAAGGGGCTCAAGGTGAAAGAGATTGACAAAGCTAAAGAATATACCTTAATGGCTTCACCTATACTAAACTTAATGTACTATCCGCGTTGTCCGAACCCAGACCTCACAGCAGGAGTACGCCCTCACTCCGATATATCGACGATCACTATTCTCCTACAAGATGAAAATGGCGGCCTTTATGTTCGAGCAACCGATGAAGATAGCTGGATTCATGTTCCGCCGGTCAAAGGGGCTCTCGTAATCAACATGGGAGACATTCTACAGATAATGAGCAACGACAGGTACAAGAGCATCGAACATCGGGTGGTTGCCAATGGAAGTAAGGATAGGGTTTCAGAGCCGATTTTCGTGAATCCAGGAGCGGATGCCACTTTTGGTCCTCTGCCAGAAGTGCTAGAAAGTGGGGAGCAACCATTGTACAAGGAAGTTGCCTTCTCTGATTACTTCAAATACTTTTTCAGCAAGAAGCATGATGGAAAGAAAACAATGGACTTTGCCAGGGTATGATTAAATCCCCCTCCCTTGCAAATATGTTTGCTGATTATGGGAAAATAAACATATGATATAAGAATAACAAGTGTTGTCAAGGGCAAAAGGTGCATTCCAAATTCTACAACCCTTGTATTATGTATAGGTACGTTGAAGTTTATGCAAGTCTTGTACTCCTACATAGTTTAATATATACAATAAACACGCGTAATCTTGTCTCTCTAGAAAACACCAATTTTTCTTGTTGGCTGGTATGATTGAATTTATGCTCAAATATTGAAAGAACATTCAGTGTTTCTCACAAGTAAAGCACATATCAAATGAAAAAACGAAATGAAATTAAGGTATAATGCCCAGGCGCAGGCAAGTTTATGTTGGATACCTTAATCCAAGTAACATGGATATCCAACAAGATTCATGGATAACAAGAAAACAATGCAGCAGAAACTTTCAAGGTACAGAAACAGAGCATTTAATAGGGGATATGATCCAAGGCTTTCCATGTTTAGTACTGGTAGAATATGAACATCCAAATTGAATTGACGGAACCTTGAATTATACAGCCATCGCCTGTTGAAGCATGAATCATTACACAACTGAATTGACGATCTGCATAAGCGTGGGAAAAGAGATTTTGAATTATGTTTGAAACGATTTTTTTCTTAAAAGGGAAAAAAGTGAGATTTTAAAAATCACATCAATTTTTAATTTATCTATTTCAATTGATTTTTAATTTAAAAACAAATGCGATTTAAAAGAACTCTCGTTTTGAAAAATTTTGAATTTCCTTTACGATCGAAAAATACGATCAAAGAGTCGCCACCAATATTTGATTAGGGTGTGATTGGGCACCCAAAAATGCTATCATTTTAAATAAAAATTAATTTTAATTAAAACAACAAATTGATGTCTGCGTTACCAAAAAATGAGTTCGGGAGTCGGTTACGTGTGTGGAAGGATTAGCACCCCCACAACGCCCTAAATCGGTACCTAGTCGATTAATTAACGTCTTTGCAATGAACTTTACAAATTTGAACTTAATTTGGCTTTTGATCCTGTAAAACAAAGATGTAAATTTAAAAACATTCAAACACACTTAAATAAATTAAATTAAAATTACCGAGTCGTTTTAGAAAGATAAAGAATGTTCGATTATTTACAAATATCGATACCAGATCTTAAAAGTTATAACAACCTTTTCTCGATAAATTTAAATACCTGAACATTTCTTTTTCTTCCATTCCCAAATTTTAAAGTGATAGATCAATTTTTAGGTGTCACTAATGGGATACACTTTTATTTTGAAATCATTAAAAGCGAACCTCAAATCAGTTATGACAGTCCACTTAAAATAATTTTAAATTAAAAGCATATTACCCTTAATCTAATTATGTAATATGTCGAGTTATGCAAATGAGGCTATCATGAAAATTATGCAAAAAGTGGATGTCATGCCAAAATTAATTAAACAAAATTAAAAAATATCATACAACATGACATACAAAAATTATATACATACATTTTAAAATTAAAAATTATAAACCATGCATATTAACATATAATGTACAAATGTGACCTAAATATAAAAACAAAATCATAACATGCTAAACTATAAATTTAAAAAAAGTGTATATATACATGTTAAAATAAGGACTAAATTTAAATACACATAAAATTAAACATACTAATTAAAAATTAAAATATGGATCTAAATGAAACATGCACATAAATGAGGGATCTACACCCAAATAATCTAACAAAATTATAACTAAAACTAAAAACTGAAAAATGACTAAATTAGGACAAACATAAAAGGTTAATTCAAAAAACAGACTTTACAAATGACTGAAGTGCAAAAACGATAAATATAATAAGACTAACCTAGGTTTATCTCTGTATATAGTGACCAAGAAATAATTAACCCGAAATTACTAGTATATATATATAATAAACTAAACCTAATAGTCGTATATCATACTCCTCTCACCCTCTACTCTCTCCCCATCTACTCTCTTCCTCACGCTTTTCTTTTCAATGAAACCAGGGGCGAAAATCCATGGCCACCTCTGCTACACACATGCGTTATAAAAAATGAAGATGTAAGCTTTAAAGAATGGATTTTTCCTTGCTTAATAAAATACAGATCTTTGTTATGCATCGTGATTACCTTTTTTATTCAAATGGTTGCCCCATAATATTTTTAATGGATTTTTAAAAAAAATTCCTTTGTAGTTTTTCGATTCACTCTCTGGCTATTCACTCTAAAAAATCGACCCCTTTGATCTATGTCTAAAATCAGGACTCCAAAACACATGCACGACCTGGTACTAACTCCAAACTCCTAAAAATCTACAGTTACCTTCTCGGACCGATGAAACTGACGAAGCTGTCTATTCTCCATGACAAAAATTTGATTTAAAGGTAAATAACGTACTCTATTTTTTCATTTCTCATTTGTTTCGAAATAAACACATACACACTGTCAACACACTAGGAATCAAGAAGGTACGAGAAATACCTCAAAAGAATCTCTATTGCTTTCGAAGAAGATGGGGAAGTCCTGTTACACAGCCTTTGTTTTGAATGCTTCGTTGTGTAAAAAAAACGAATGGGAAAACAATTTTTTTGTGCTTTTTATCACAATGGTCTCCGATTCCTCTTTCTTTTTTCTGTGTAATCTATTATGTTCTCTCTGTAATCCCCCCCCCCTTTTCTGATGGTTAATTATCAATTAAAACCCCTTTTACAATTTTTCTTAACTTCCCATAACCATTGCGTTCTTCTTTAAGCCCACCATTACTTCCGGTCTAATTCGACTTAACCCCGGACAAAAACGAGCATCTACAAATTACAAATTGAATAAAAATCTGAGGTTGAAACTTTACTTTTATTTATAAACTCGTAAATCAATTGGGGAAAGCTTTACTGAAAACATCAAGTTCACATTTTGCTTGATCTTACTTGCCTATTATAGTTAGAGAAATCACCATACCTTGACATGGGCACCCATTTCTGTAAGCATGCAGTGTGGTCCTATCTAAAATCATAGAAAGATAAGGCCTTAGTTTTTGCAGGTGATGCTGGCTTACAGTAGTTTTAGTTCCGAGCTTTGGTGAAGGGCCTATCATATTATCACCATCTGAGGAGGTATCACTTAACAGATGATCTGCCTCACCAGTGACCTCAAATGTTTCAGATGGAAATAAGTAATGAAATACCAAGTGGATTAGAAAAGGCAGACTGCAAAATAAGAAAAGCAAAATTTATTTGAAAAATCAATTTTATTATTTATATTTTTATAATTAAATTCAAATAATAATTTTATTAATAACAAATAATTCAGTTAGGTCAATTTAAAATAATATAATTTTTATATAGGTCTAACAGGAATCAAACCAAACTTACTAAATAAAACGTATAATTTGATATTCAAATAAGTATAATATAAAATTAGAAAAAAAAACTTAAAATATGATAATAAAAAATAATATAAATATTGCACGAACCAACTTATCTCAATAGTTAAAAGAATTGTTGTTGTTTCTAGAGGTCATGGGTTTGAGCACCAGCGACTGTAAAAAATGTTTGATGTCCATTGTCAAATGGTTGAGAGTATTGAGAACATATATTACTTTGTAATCACCTTAGCTTAATAAAAAAATAAACATCCTTGATATTATCTCAAAAATATTAAATTTTAACACACTCATATATTATAGGTAAAAATAATTTTTAAATATATTTATATTTAAAATTTATTTATATAAATTTATTCAACAACAATTACTATTGTAGAGTAAAAAGTTTGTTTATATTGTTTAGAGATTTATAAAAGAGAAAATAACCTCAGTGACCAAAAATATCTTATATCACTAGATTTTATTTGTTTACTTGTTTATATCATTAAACTGTTAATTTTTTTTATCAATTTTAATATTGAACTTTAGTTTTATATTTAATTATGTCATTATGTCATTAAGTTAGTAACATGATGATGACGTAGCTAACGGTTACTAACATAGTTTATCACACCAAAGTGACATTGTTTTGGTGAAGACTATTAATGTCCAAAATGATATTGTTTTAAACAATAATTTAGGGGTGTATCGATTTTGCCACCATACTTATAAATAGTTAACCTTTTACGCATTGTACTTTTCGACCACTGCTTGTCACCAGTCGTCTTTCAAAGTAAGATTGGCACCAAAACGTTCGTATTTCACTCATTTTTCTTCTCCCAAGATTGTTTTTTCACGAAATCCACTCAAAATAAATGAAAATTCATTTAAAAGTTCGATGTATTAAAACTATAATCTCTTTCAATGATCGTTCGATGAAACTAGTTTTGACATATGTTGTTCATATTCTTAAAATAATGCTTCTCACCATTAAGATTTTGAACAAACACCTTAAATCCCGTAAATCTAAGAAATCCTGTAAATGTCTAAAAAATTATAGATTTTTTGTTTAGTTTTATCGGTTTTGTGAAAAATTGTTTAGAAATTAAGTGGTAAATTGATATATCCTTAAAGTTCATTATCTAAAGTGATGTCGTTTTAGGTATCAAAATAATCACATCAAAAGGTCGACGTTTTGGTGTGATAGAGCATGTCAACATCCCATTACTGACTTATTGATGGAGTGATATAATCGAATGTAAAACTAAAGTTCAAAGTTATAAAATTAAAAGTATCAATATTCTTATTCTTTTTTTTCCTTTCAAAAATCAATAATGTGAGCCCAACTCAACTTTTTAACCCACATAACCATGCCACGTGCACTTCAACGGCTACAAAATATCCAAAATAAGGCGCTTAGTAGCCGTTAGATTCTCGTTCAATCAAACGGCCAGAAATTGGATTTCAAAATTTTATACCGTTAGAGAGACGCGTCCCTTCCGAAACACTTGCTTAAAAAGGTAACTGGGCTGCTGGTTTAATAAAATTACAAACCAGAGTCAATTGACAACTCATACGTAATACCAAAAGAAAAAGATCAATTCAAAAACTGGAAAACAGCCAAGGGACAACAGCAAAGATCAACTCAAAGAAGGTTGTTTCATTTGTTTGTTTGTTCGTTTGGCAGTGGCGAAAAGAGTTGTAGTAGGGTGGCGACTAGAAGAGACCCAGAAGAGGAGGAGACGCGAGGAAGCCGTCTTCGGGTGTTCCTTTCGTCTTTTTTTGCCAGCCTCGGCGGAGTTTTAAGCCAGGTCGTAGAAAAAGAAGTAGAAGAAGGACAGGAGATGGCTTCTACAGCGGTTGTTCCTCAGCGTGAAACCAATGGTTGTTTTTTAAAACTTGGTTCTTGATTCTTTTTGTCTTTTTCTTTTGAATTTGGAGAGTTTTGCACTGATCTTTGATAAGCTTTTGGTTTGTTCATTAGACAGTTCTGTTCGGTTTGATTTTGATGATATTTCTTTTGGTTTCTGGGTATCTCTAATTTCCTTTAAATGTAGAATTGTTTGACCAGTTCCTGGAAAATTTAAGGGGAAGATATATCTGGGGAATTTGAGAAAGAAGGTGTTTGATGAAATGTGTGTTTCAGATAAAGAATACTTGTACAGACATAAAGTCAGATATAAGTTTTATTGTGAAACTTATTCATTGTTCTTCATTTTGATATGTTACTTATTCTTGAAAATCTGACATTTTTTATACATTCTTTGTTATCAGAAGAAGTGAAGCAGAAAAATGCAAGAGCAGATGGAAGGAACCGAAGAGTTCTTCAAGACATTGGCAATTTTGTGGATGAACGAGCGCCACAAGGAAAGGTATTTCCATTAAGCACAAAATATGTTCCTTCTCATTTCTTCTCACCTATAGTTGCAGATACATTTACGTGCAAATATCACCAAATCACTAATTGCTCTTGGTTTTGCTTGTAGAAATCAATCACTGAAGGAATTGCTGTTGCACAAGCAGTGAAAGGAGCCCAAAGGAAGGCAGCTGACAAGGCCGAGAAACCGAAACCCGAGGATGTGATAGTTATAAGCTCTGATGAAAAAAGTGAGAGAAGCAAACATGTTAGCAAAATACAAGGATCTTCAAGGAAGCAAGTCAAAACCCTCACTTCAATCCTCTCTGCTCGAAGCAAGGTAATGAGTCCCAAGTGTATATGCAGATCACGTGGAGAATTTGTTGCATTTTTTTTTGTGATTGTTGTGTTGTTTACTGTTTGTGGGTTGAATTCAGGCTGTTTGTGGGCTTATCAATAGGCTTAATGTTTCTATTGAGGACATTGATGGAGCAGATGCTGGAAATGAGTTGGCTGTCACTGAGTATGTTGATGATATCTACAAGTTCTACAAGCTGACGGAAGTAATATTCTTTCACTCTTTTAATATTGATTTTTTTTTAACTTTATATGAAACTTAATATCAAAAGTAATTTAATGCAGGATGAAGGCCGAGTACGTGACTATATGGATTTGCAGCCAGATATCAATGCCAAGATGAGATCAATCCTTGTCGACTGGTTGATCGAAGTCCATCGCAAATTTGAGCTTATGCCAGAAACAATGTATCTTACCATGAATATTGTTGATCGATTTCTTTCAATGAAGGTTGTACAAAGAAAGGAACTGCAATTGGTAGGCATTAGTGCAATGCTCATAGCATGCAAGTATGAAGAGATTTGGGCACCAGAGGTACTTTTCTGTGTGCAGTTGTATAATTGTGAGCCTTTGCTCTTTTTACTGATATTGTCTCTATAACATTTCAGGTCAATGACTTTGTTTTCATATCAGACAATGCTTATGCTAGGGAGCAGGTATTGGTCATGGAGAAAACAATTTTGAATAAGTTAGAATGGTACCTAACGGTTCCTACACCGTATGTGTTCCTCGTCCGGTTCATCAAAGCCTCTATTCCATCTGATGATAAGGTAATAATTTTTTGAAAACCTCAGTATCCTTTCGGAATTTGATTCTTCAAAGCCTTGGATTATAACTTGTTTGTTTTCGGAAAAACGAATGCAGATTGAGAATTTGGCATTTTACCTTGCTGAGCTTGGTCTGATGCAATACCCAACAGCAGTTATGTATTGTCCGTCAATGTTAGCTGCTGCCGCGGTGTATGCTGCGAGATGCACTCTTGGGAAAATCCCTCCGTGGAGTGAAACTCTGATGCACCACACAGGCTACTCGGAAAACCAGCTAATGTAGTTTCTCCCTCCCCTGTTCCTTTTTAATCAATGTATTTGAAAACCATCTTCTGCTATAAAGTGCGTGGTTGCAACAGGGACTGTGCAAAACTCTTGGTTAAGTTCCACTTGACAGCTGCGGAAAGTAAACTCAAGGCATTGTATCGGAAATTCTCAAGTCCGGATCGCAATGCCGTGGCGCTTCTTACACCAGCAAGAAGCCTTCTGCCGATGCCAATCCATCATGGAGAGTGATTTACTAGGACTTTTATGGCTAGTGGCTGTTATATTTGATTAATTTTCAAAGGGATGTTTGTTTTATGATCCTTTTGAAGTAGGATTGATTCGATCATGATTCTTTTATGATCTTTTGAAGTAGGATTTGACTCAAGTGTGATTTTTGATTCTTCTCTCATATCTAATGTAAACATTGGGTCTAATTTATTTTCATCAGAAAGTGTTGTTTGTATTTTCCAGCATTTTGCATTTCATTGAAAATTCCCAGAAGAAAAAAAAACGAATTTTCCCAGAAAACGAAAAGTACTATAAATTGGAACTCTTTCCAAGTAAAACAGCCCAAATCCAACAAAGTAGGGCTCTTTTCTAAAATGGAGGGGAAAGTAGAATACCTATGGGAGGAAGTGAGGGAGCTTAGCCTGGGAACCACCGTGGACCGCCTTCACTCGCCGCCAACACCGCTACAATTCCTCAGAGACTTCGTTTCTCAGAATAAGCCCTGCATAATCTCCAATGCCATCTCTCACTGGCCAGCCCTTTCCCTTTGGCCCAATTCTTCTTACCTCCCCGCCGCCCTTTCCTCCTCCATCGTATTCCTCCACCTCACTCCCGACGGCCACGCCGACGCCCTCGTCCCCCACCCATCGCTCCCTTCCCTCTGTTTCGTCTCCGCCCACGTCCAACCAACCCCTTTCCCTCAAGCCCTCGACCTCATTCGCCGACCCCCAAGCCATTTAGTAGCATATTTACAGCAGCAAAACGACTGCTTCAGGACCGAGTACGGTGAGCTGGAGTCCGACTGCGATGGCCACATTCCGTGGGCTTCCGAGGCCTTAGGCTGCCTTCCAGAAGCCGTCAATCTCTGGATCGGAAACCATCGCTCGCAGACTTCTTTCCATAAAGACCATTACGAGAATCTCTACGCTGTCGTCTCCGGCGAAAAGCATTTTTTGCTCCTCCCACCGACCGATTTTCACCGTATGTATATTAAGGAATACCCAGCAGCTCGATACTCGTATTCCCAGGTTTTTACTTGAAATTGGGTGCTTGAACCAGAAATTGGAAATCCATTTTCGATTTATGAATGTTGTATTTGATTTACAGGAGAAGGGAGAGTTTCGTTTAGAACTCGAAGAACCGGAGAGATATGTCCCATGGTCTAGTGTGGATCCTTGCCCTGCAACGGGGAATCTGAAGCAGGAAAACTTGAAATTCCCATTGTATTTTAACGGGCCTAAGCCATTTGAGGTTACTGTCAAAGCTGGAGAAATTCTTTACTTGTGAGTCTTCCTTCTCCACTCATGATCCTTTAACACTGATCATTTTAGAATATTTTTTAAGAACACATATGTGTTAAGTTTAGATCAATTGGAGTGATCAGTATGCTAATAAATGAAACGATAAGCTTTTTGTTTCATTCCCATCTAATTATCCATATGCATTTGTGCATTATACTTCGTTTCCAAATTTCCGAATCCGGGTTTCATTGTTTACGATGATAATTGCCTTGATATGCTTTACATTTCTGCTGACTATATTACTAGTACATTCTAACTTTAAGACTGTATGTTTACCCAAATTGAACTGATAATGTGTATGGTTATTAAGAATTGAATTGTGATTTTCATAATGTTTTGTCGGTGTGGTGTAGGCCGAGTATGTGGTTTCATCATGTTAGTCAGAGTCCAGGAGAAGACGGATGCACAATCGCTGTAAATTACTGTAAGGATTAAGTGATTTCTTAGCTTCCTTATTTGTTATGATTTTTCAGAAGTTGAAGTGCGCGTTTTTATTTGCAGGGTATGATATGCAATTTGATATCAAGTATGCATACTTCAACTTCTTGCAGTCACTTCCTTGCCGATCAATCAATGATCTGACGACGCCAGAGAGTGGATGTGAGCAGGATTTGGGACCTCATGCTTCTCCCAACCATTTAAACAGTAGATTCTCAGGTGATGAATCTGCAACAACCAATGTGGAGATCGATACAGACCGTGGCAATGTTTAACTACCGACATTTCATTCACACTGGTTCTATGTACGTGTGTTTCTTTTGAGGCAGTGAATGCAGAAAATTGCGACCGTGATGCTGCTTCTGGTCGTCCACGACACCGAAATTTCTGTGGTCTTGAAAGAACTGCCATGCGCTACCTGAAAATGATGGCAACACTAGAGATTCTTTGAAACATTTTTGATGTGGTGTTGAATCTTGATGTCCTCAATAGAACATGGTAGATCATGAAACTCAGGTTCAAATGCTCGGTTAGATTTGGTTTAGAGCATTTTACTCGGAGATTCTTGTGATGCTGCTTTGGATTTTGTCTGTGACATACCATTGACTATATTTTATCTATTATTTACTGATTTTTAAATTTTGTGGGTGAACCTTTCTCTATTGATTGGACTGGATGTTGGACAGATGACAGGAATATATAATAATACAAATCTAGAGAAAACCCACTGAAAAACAAGCAAAATGAGAGCCGTATGTAATTGACAACAGCCAACAAAACCAGCCAAAGAAGTTCCAATTGTGAAAGATGGAAGGGGTTGAGCATAGAATAGTTCAGGTGAATGGCATGAACATGCACGTAGCAGAAAAAAGGCCAAGATAATAATCCATGTTTGACATCAAAAGCGTCTTGAGTGGTAGAATCAACTGTTGTCAAAACCTCGATTGTATCAGATAATAATCGATATACATGCCGTGATTTAAGTGTGTTTGTGTTTAATTATGATGACAGAAATTGGAAACTGTTGGAACCATGGGCTGTGGTTGTGAGGTAAAACGATATGCACCTGGTTTATCATATGCCTGGCATTAAAGATTACATCCACATTGGCGGGTTCAAGAAGGATGTGTCATTGTTGCAGGAAGTAGTGGTAATGGAAGGAGTCGGGCACTTCATCGACATGGAAAAAACTGATGAGATTAACTACCACATTTACGACTTCTTCTGACAGTTTGATTGGCATTTTCACTCGATGCTCGGATAAGGTTCAAATCTTAGTGTTGTCAATCTCCCTCGATATAGTGCAATTGTACCCAAAAAAAATGAAAACATAACCATCCATCATTCACACATGATCAATCCTTTTGCATTAAACCATTCAACAAATTGAAACAGCTTCACAAAGAAATCCTCCAAACGTAAGTATGAATATTTTACATTAATGCAATAATAATCAAACAACAACAAAGCAATGCCTAGAGTTGGGAGAAGACAATGCTAAAGGCAAAGGCAAACATAGGAAAAAAATGAATGGGTTGAAACCAAATACAGGGAAAACACAATGTTGTGATGACCTACTATTACAAACTTAATGATGCATAATGGAGGGAAAAAACACCCCGGCATAATTACAACTAATTAGCAGAACCGAACCCTAAGAAAGTCAATTTAGGTTCCTAAAGAAGCTCTATCAACAGGACCAGCGAGCATGATCTGGCATTTCAAAAATTTAAATATATAAATGAATTAATAAATTATTTCTTTCTTCTACAACTACGAAGCGGAATTTTGGAGAACCACTAAAAACTTACATTGCAGTCAAAAGCAAATCTCCTAGCAAGCATAATGGCAGCATTTCTCTCTCTCTCCGATTCAAATGCCAATACAACTGAAAACTCTTTCTTTGCTTGCCAAAACAATGCTTGCGCTGCTGCATTTCCGCCGCCTCTAACTCCACACAGCTAAAGCATATATAAGCACAGGGGGTTATGAACTGAACATGGTCCACACACGGTATATGTGTGTGTGTGTGTGTGAATATCAGAAATATCATGTTTTGTATCAGTTTGTTAATTTATTTGTACCAAGGTTTTGGCTATGTTACTCTAATTCTTCATTTTCCTTGAAGAACCTGTGCTGAAACCCATGTCTGAAACACTTGCACATACCAGTGGCACATGTAAATTCATATCTTATACTCACCCGTGTCTAAGCAATATAGGTTCCATTTTACTCTTTCTCTTGTCAGTGCCTAATATGTACTATTTCTCCTAAAAAATAATACTCCAAATCAAGGAACAATGTGAAGGATATATGTAGAATCGTCCCCAAACCACAAAATTTCTCTCTTTTCGTCCCTTTACTGTTTGAGAGAACACAAAAAATCTTTTATTGCTGAGAAAATTTACTAGATTTAATACCTGCATTGAGCTGGAATAATATTCTTTAGAGAGTATTGCATTGCCTTTACATAACTTCATCCTCATCTTCCCCACATGTAGTGCATGAATAGATTCTGATGGATGATCTGCACCATTCATTTGGGTAACAACTACCTATAAAATACAAAAAAGTGTAATGATATAACATTAGAAGCCAAAAAAGGAATAAGGGGTTAAAATTATACAAAAGATACAATAAAATGCACATATATTTGAAGCAAAAACAATTTTTAGCAAATACGTGTAACATATTCTCATGTATCAGACTGCACCAACAATTGAAAAACTGCTGAGACGAAATTAAATCAATTAATGATTTTAAAAGCTTTAAATCCTTTTTGCCATATCATTCCGTGACCCAAAACCAGATTCAGAGAGATACTGATATAACTAGAGCTAGTAGGATTGTGGAGTCCATGGTCAATGCTTAGTAGTGTCAGCAAGCAAATAAGGGTTTATTGGTAACCAAGCAACCAGCACTTGCATCCGAGATTGAAGTTGGACAGGAAGTTTTGCTTGGTGTAGGAACTCTAAATTCAACACTATTTTTCTACAATTTTAAGGGTTTAAGATCTTGAAGGATTGTTTAAATTTTAAAATTCTCACTAGGATAAAATAAGTTTAGTTCTTCAATGCTCCAATGAGCTGCAGCACAGGAGAGATTATTCACAGAACAATGCAATATAAAAAGGAGAAATAAAGAGGTAATTTCCCCCAAGTAACCACTGTTAGAAAGATAGCAATTGCAATGCATCTTAAAAGTCAAGTTTAAGGTGGAAACTCATTCTGCTCTGGAGAACTAGAAAAAGTTCGCTTAAAGTAAAACTTTAACTAAAAAAATGTATAAATCAATAGAAAGATACAACAATCAAATCCTATTTGAAGTACCCAAAACAAATAAAGGCTAACACAGAAAGATACAACAATCAAATCCTATTTGAAGTACCCAAAACAAATAAAGGCTAACACTACTCTTATAGCCATGTAAAGGATACTGCTGTTAAGCAGGACAACATACAGTGAATTCAACATCATGTTTCCGCACAAGTGCTTCCACATAGTTCCCCAAACCAGGAGCTGCTTTCAATAACAAAGAGCAAGTTACAAATCTCGATAAAAAATGAGGTAAAATTTTCAACAACAAAAAATGCTCAGCAAACCTGGATCAATAGCACCAGTAGTTGTTAATATGATTAGCTCGCCATCATAAACAATCTCAACCTGCAAGATTCGACCAACATCAAATGGCTCTGGAGCATAAACTGATTTGCTGGCACCTGGATAAAGCAAGTAGACAAATACATCAGATCCGAAAAGGAAAACGATTGTTCTATTGCCCATAAGAGTCAGTATTAGCATGTCATCTCAATAATGCTTATTTGTAAATGTTTTTCGTGTAGCTTATCAAAATTATTTTGTTATGGTAAATATTTGTACTCGGGCGTGAGCATCAGATGCGGATATGTTATCCAAGATGAATATGCTAAATTATTTTAAAAGTTTCGCTAGGAGGGTTAGATCCTATATCCAAATCTGAATATACAAATATGCTTCTTCTCTAGCATCTAAACAGTATGAAATTAAAAGCAACGGAAGAAAATTCAAGCTGAAGTTGTAAATCTTTCATCAAAACAGACCTAAGCTGTTCATAAACAGCACGTCATAAAATCTTTCTTAGATGCATGATGGTTCTCAAAAGGCTCATTTATATGAGTGTTGTACATAAAGGCTAAGTAAATAAACAAAAATCCTAAGCTGGTATTGGTTGATATTTATGTTCTGTTAAGGGCTGTTTCTTTTTGGTTTTCTATCTCTTGAGGGAGATTAGACCTTGTATTACTTTGTAATTATTTGAGGTTAATGAAATCCTAGGGCACTCTTTTTCTCCTTCCGCTGATTAAGGAACTATTTTCAAGTTCCATTAATCATGAAGGGGTTTTTTAATGAGGCCTACTATTCCTATCAAAAAAAATATCAATCATCACATGAAAATAGAAAATATCTGATGACCAACTTTAAAGTCAAATTCTATATGACCATCCTGATCCTAAACTCTGCAAGGCAGAAAGGATCCAATCCTGAATTTATCTGTAAAGATAAAAAAATAGAAACCTAGTTCCCAAATGAATGAATTAAAAGTAGCAGAGGATTAGCAATCAGTAGTAACTGCTACCTTCTGTTTTCACATTGGAAAAAAAAACGAGTAAAATTTAAAATAGCTGTACCTATACTGCCTGCCAGGGAAAAGATGACGCAAAAAACATGTTCTATCTAAAGTAATTATTATAAAATCCAGTGGCTTAATAGACAATATAAGCACAATATTTGAAAGTTCATGGAAAAGTTCAAGGAAATATAATAAACCTTAGCTCAGGTTACAGTAATAGAGAGACCAATTCCGCTGATTTTGATGTGACAAACTATTCGAATTTCAGTACCATAAGATAACATGTTATACCATTTGATAATATTTGCATTTCAGATCAACTGTCTAACGGGATGCTTGAACATGGATGATACTACTTAGCATGGCATAACCGCCAACCTTAATAAATCAAAATTATATTTATCAACAACCATAACGGAGTATAGCTGAAAAAGGAATAACTACCTGAAAAAAGATGTTGGAGAGTGCTTAAGGAATCATTCTTGGTTTCAAGTGGGGAATGGTAAGTCAATTTCCTTTTGGAATGATGGATGGATAGATGGCTCTCCTCTGAAAATTCAATTTCCTAGGATTTTCGCATTGTCAACCAATAAAAAGGACAAAGTGGTTGAATTCGGCTGTTATGAATCCACAGGCTGGTCTTGGAATGTTCAAACGAAAAGAAATTTATGTGAATGGGAATTAGAGCAATGGGTAAATCTTATGAGGAAGTTGAGCAGTACAAAGTTGATTGAATCAGTGGATGATTTCCTCTCTTGGACTGGGAGAATCCTATTTGGAAGAATTGTGTTTGGAAGGGGTTTGTTCCTACAAGGGTGGAAATTTTCTTGTGGCAAGCACTTCATCAAAAACTGGCTGGGAAAACAGAGTTGATGAAAAGGGTGGTTCCCTTGGTAGATGACTTTCTTTGTCTGTTCAGCAATCTGGCTGAAGAATCTGTCCAGCACCTGTTTATATCGTGCATGGTAGCTTGGGAACTCTGGAACAAGTTCCTACTGTTTTGGGAGGTCTCTTCGGCACTTCCTCGCGATCTTCCAACCCTTCTTGCTTCCTGGGCTGATCTGGTGCCAAAGTCAACCATATGGAAATTCATCTCGGGTGTGCTACTTTGGACTATTTGGAAGTTTAGAAAATCTATTGTTTTCGATAAACAGGAACTAGATAGGGCTTCTCTTTTCTTTATTATTAGATTCAGATTGGCTAAGTGGTTTATGGCCAAGTTCCCTCAAGTTCCCATCTTCGTGGACTCGCTGATTGGTGACCCCTCCCTAGCAGACAAACTCCCGATCAAAGGGGTTGAGTGTAGGTCATTGCAGAGATGGCTCCCTCCACCGGTGGACTTTTTCAAACTGAATGTTGATGGTGCAGTAAGGAAGGATTGGTTGGCTTGGGGTATTGGGGGTATTTTAAGAGACTCTATCACTCTAGATTCCTTTTCAGAACACATCGGCCCTGGTCCTCCCCTGCTGGCTGAATTGAAGGCGATTAGAAAAGGCATTGAGTTCTTCTTCTCCTCTATTTGGGCAGCTAAGGGTAGATTGATAGTGGAAAGTGACTGTAAAATTGTAGTGGATTGGATAAATCTGTCTATCCCTGTGCCTACCTGTTTTATCAACCTTGTTAGGGAAATAGAGACCCTTGTAAAGATTAGGGAGATAATCCTTACGCTGATTCCTAGATGTATTAACTGGAAGGCTGACAAATTAGCTAAAGAAGGGATTGGGTGAATTATAGGGCACTTCCGGGTGCTCTAATTGTATTTAGAGGGCTGTAGTTTTGGTATTGTACAAGGAACGTTGTCTTTCTTTGGGCTTTTAATAAAATTGAGGTACTCTTTTCCCTTGTGGTAAAGGACAACTATGAAGGGTTTTTTTTAATGAGACCTCCTACTTCTATCAAAATAAATAAATAAATAACGGGGTATAGCTTTAAGGAATAGAATGTGTTAAAACAACTATTTTCTGATAAGGTATTTAAAATTCGTATGACAGGCAACAAGATTTCAACATTTCGACTACCAGCATAATAAAGCAAATGACATACTATACATGTTATGACATTCATATTTTTTCTAATAAAAAAATCAGTTAACAATGAATCTAACTTCAAAAGAAAAAGTTTGCTATGCATCAAACACCACCTGTTCAGTAACCTTAAACATAGAGAGGAAAGAATCAATGGCTATCTTTACCTGATATAAGCTCCTTTTTGCCACCTTCAGATGAAATACGGTACCACTGAATTGAACATTTGGAGAGCTCTGGAGCAATATCAGAACAAGGTTTAATCCGCAAATATGAACCTAAAACTTCAGCACCATCTAATTCATACAGATCAGATAAATTTCCCCCAACTCTCTTGCTTCTTGCCAGCTGCAAAATCAGTTACGAAAAGCAGAAGGTTAAAGAAGTCAATGATTAAAAAAAAGAATGGAACACAATCATATGCACCTGTCAATTCCACACAAATGCCTATAACTATAAGAACTAGAAAATAAATGTAACAAAAGAGATAAAATCAAAATCCTTCAGGCCGGATACCAGTATATTACTACAAAGTTATAAAAAATGGTAAGTACCACACCAGTTCTACTTAATCAGTATTTGAAAAGGAATAACAAACTTATGAACTTAGTTTACACCTTTTAATGGTGTATTTCTCCATTTGAGAATATTTCGTGTTTCCATATGTATTCGATACTTTTATTAATAAACTATGAGGTACTCTTTTCTTCCTTCCAATGTTCGTTAACATACTTCTTAGTATGTGGAAGAATACGAAGGGAGTTTTTAATGAGGCCTCCAACTTCTATAAAAAAAACAAACTTATGAACTTAGGATATGATTACTTTCTTATTATTCATTTTTTTTTGTGGGAGTGGGGGGGTTCTCCTTGGGATGAAGTCCATTTGGATGGGCACAAGAGCGTAGAATCATGTGTATGGCCTTTTGAAACAGAATGCAAAAGACTGTTTCAAAACGAAAATCTGGGTCTTATCTAAGCTGTAGATGGTATAATATTCACTGATACAGTCTTATTTTACATTTCTTAGGAATAGAGGTAATAGATATCTAAATTTGTCCATGCATGTGAAATATGCATCAGAACCCCAAACATATGAGGGCCTCAATATGCTAAAACCAGAGAATTACAGATCAATGCATTATCCCAAAGAGCATTGACCTTCCCAAATTTTCAGTTTCAGAATGTTCCTACAACACAATAACTAAGAAGGGGGTTTTTAACGGGGCCTATTTCCTATAAAAAAAAATGTTCCTACAACAAAGCAAATACCAATATGATAAAGAACTAGAAAATGAGAGAGAAATGGAAATGTGTGGCTCAACATAGTACCAGAAAATAAACTGATTTAAAAAATACTTTGGAAGAACCAAGGAGAATATAAGAATATTAAACTAATGCAAATAGAATGGCTGGAAGAAAATGATAAACAAAATCCACATGATAAAAGGTAAAACCTCTTTCAGAAGAAGTAGAGAATGCTTAGACTTCTCTGCAAGTTGAATCCTTAATGCACAAAGCTCATGTTCCATATCCATAACCTGTAAAATGTTATTGGTTTAACTCATCCATTATTTCAACTAAAAATGAATTGAAATGGGTAAATCTAGCAGAAATGGTGTCAATTTGATTTGTCATGCTGCAAAGCGTACATGCTTCAGCATATATCAATATAATAGACGTGATAAGATTTGTTTACCGGGTAAGTACCCTTAATATTAACATGCCTATACATAGCTTGATTCATTTTGAAGCCAAAGACAAGCCATTTTTCAATTAGAGAGCTCTATGGGAGAAAACAAACAAAAAATTTAAGAATGCAACATTTGAACACAAATCCTAATGAACATATACCCAACGTTTACATGAGAGTTTGCTCTGTCCTCGTAAATCAGACTCCAATATTCATGCCAAATTCAAATTAAATCATTTAACACTACGCATCCCGCTCCATCGTTTCTTCACCCTGAATCTAGAGGAATGCCATAGAAAAAAATAACCAAGTGGATATTATAATAATGATTTTCATGTTTAGAAGAACAATATTCATTACCAACAGGTCTAGTCTCCCTTTTCCCGTATAATTTATTGACTGGGGATGATAATAGATCTTTCCATTCAGTAATCATATCTATGAAAACCATACTTGCCACATTCTCTTTTTCAAAGAATGGTATTCATCATTGTTGAAGCTTAAACATAATAGTTAGACCATTTCCTATATGCTTAGCTGTTTAGGAAAATTGGTCACCTAATTTAACATGGTATTAAAGTCCATGTGTGTTGTTTTTTTTCTGCACAACCCCATGTAACCGCCCCTAGTTAGGTTGTCCACGTGTAGGCCATTAGTGAGCAACACATAAAAGGGAGTGTTATTTGCTGTTATATCACATCTATTAATCTTGG